AGGATATTGTGAATGGGTGGTTTTCCTCATTTCCAGTTCAGAAGAACAAAAGCACCTTTTAAATTTATGGGTGATAATATCATAGTTTATTTGTTGAGGGAGCACTGCTTTATAGCATGCATTTCTCCACTCACCATATATTAGTACAGTTATTTCCTGACAAATATGTTTTGTGCTTGAGGCAGTATATTTTTATGGAATACCTGAAGACTGTTGCCATATAAATGTTTGCTCCGTGGGTTGCCAAGGTTAGCAGCGTTTCTCATATTGGAAGTGTCACTGCTGGCTTTTAATCTGGGTGTCCACTGAGGAACATGGCTAGGCTTAGCTTAACTGTTTCCCAAGCAGATGAGAATCAATGGCCTGTTAGGTTATAGGCACAATATCATAGTGTGTCCATGGCTTATAAAAATTCAAAATGATGGTTTCACTTGCAAACCTCCGTCTCCCTTTTTCCTTGCTTTTTAAAAGTTCTTACAGAACTTGGGCAGAATCCATGGGTTTGGAAGGCTGCACTTATGATCCTTATTCTACTGTTCTGGGCCCCGGTTAAGTACACATATTTGTTGCCAGTTTAAAGGGACTGGGTCTTATTCCTCGTTGGGCTGCTTGTCACATTTTTGGTCTTTTGTTCTGTCCTTTCTGTTTGCCTGTGATTCCTTTATCAAGCCAATTTCTTTCCATGGGAATAAGTATGTGCCAAGCTCTGCTCCATGCCAGGTTTGATTGTGCTTCCCCCCCACCCCCGCAGAATTCATAATTAAAATAATAATTTCCTCCTTCAGGGTACTGCCTCAGAAGTTTCTCTTCCTTTCATAATTCAAGATGTTTCCTTCTCCTGGCAGCTGATAGGCATCCATCTCAAATTCATCCCACCTAACTAGAATCATCTCATTACTTGACCAGCTCCCCTATTCCTATGTTAGCTTCAGGAGGGAGACCCTTCTCCTCAGTGTGGTCCCTGACTGGGACATGGAAGGTACCTAACCACTGGTGAGTGAAGCCAGCCAGCCCACTCTGAGAGAGGAATACTTATGCTGTTTATCCAGTGCAGAAAGTTGGCTCAACACTGGCCTGCTTAACGCTGAATTACTGACTTAGTAAAAACTACTTAATTTCAATATTATTTTAAGGGTCAAAATATATTTGATAAATGCTATAAAGTCAGGTATTTTATTATTTTTGTCTTTATATTTATATTATATATTTTATTTTGTGAATGATGCTTATATCCTAAAACTGGATTTTACAATAAAACGTACATTTTACCACATAAAGCATAGAATGTAAACTCTCCTTTTCCATGCAATAAAGGCAATCCATTTCAGAACACAACTTAAAACATGAGCTGTATCTAGGAAAAAACACAAATTAAAATGAAAAGTAAGGTTGGGAATCAAGTTTAGTGGTAGAATACTTACCTAGCATGCCTGATGCCCTTAGGTTCGGTCTCCAGTACTGCAAAAGAAAAATAAAACTATGCATTAAAGTTAACAATGTGCTTGATTAGGGACATTTCCAGTATTTTATCTGTCATGTTTAGCATACTGCAAAGCATTACAAAGGTTTAAAAAATGCTAATTTTATCCTGTACCATCTGCCTTAATGGCATATCTTTTAATTGATTGAAATTCCAAATCTCTATTGCAGAATAAGAAGTTAACAATATCACTTTGTTAACTAAGATTAAAAAATTAAAAGTCATTAACATGTTACACATATGTATTAAAGCATTATGAATAACATTTGGTCAGCAGTTGTGTCAGTCCAGCTGTTTGTTGATTTAAGAAGAATGTTTTTAGATGATAAGTCAAAGCAGGGACATTATTTGTAGACATCTTGGTCCCCCCTTTCATTCCAAGTGTCCATCTTCAAGTGGATAGAACTCTGAGAGTCACAGCTTACAACCATAGGAGAGAGTCCCATCTTCCACTGTCTTTAGTAATTATTTATATTTTGTTATTATATTCCAGAAATATTACACTAACAGAGCCTGAAACTACAGCTGTATTCATAGAGTCTGAGGCTTTAAAGTTTTACTTTGGGGAATAAAATTAAAAGATGAAATACAGAGATTTTTCTCAGTGTAGCAGAACAAAATAAAATTATCCCCTCTTAAAATAAATGGTAGTTAGGGGAAGCAATTTTTCCTGTCATGGATAAAAGCTAAGGAACACAAAATCAGCATTTGAAATGTTAACTCACAGTGTTTTAAGTAAAAAGAAACTAGAATGCATTGTACAGTACCTTTTCCCAAGGATGATTGCAGTTTCTTGTTTTTAAGACCTGAAAAAAGCGTCATCTATTTGGTAGGCTAAACTGTAAAAACTAGAGATGATATGAAAACATTAGGTCGAATGTTCAAGTTTTTCTTTTTTGGTGGGGGGTTCCATTTTACATTGCTTAATCAGCTCAGCCTCTCCTGTAGTTGAGTTCAGAGTCCCAGGCATGCCAAAGAAAAGCAAACTTTCAATATTTGTGGCCATATTGAACATTCAAAGTCCCTATGCCTCTAGTTTTGTCACATTCACCTACAAAGTTACTGTGGCAAAAGCATGAATTTAGAATCAAAATTTTCTTCTAAACTCATCGTTGCCACTTAACAGTGGTAAGTTTTGGTAGCCTGTACAAGGCATTTTATTTATAAACTTCTGCTTCCTCATTTGTAATGAAAGTTTCAAAAGCCTGTTTTTACCTAAGTCTCGGGCTGTGCTAAGACAAAAGGAGTCAAAATAAGCTTAGTGTACTAAGAAGTGTTTTTTCACAAGTTTCAGGTAGGTCCTGTTGTAATTCCCATTTCACAGGTAGGGAAAGGTTAAAAAAAGCTAACAAGTCTAATAAAGAACACATGGCTGATAAATGAGAGATCTGATTCCAAAAGAAACTACTGTAATTACACTTATTCAACCTTGGCACTACTGACATCTTGGGGCTGGTATTTCTATGTTGTGGGAACTGTCTTGTTCATTTGAGGATGTTTAATGACATATCTGCCTCTCCCACTAGTTATCAGCAGTCACCTCCTTCCAGGTGTTCACAGCCAAGGGTGTCTCCAGACACTGCAAAATATTCCCTGGTGGGCAGACCTTAAGTTGAGAAAAGCTGGTCTGTATGATTCTGGAGCTAAAGTTCTTAACCAATTTCATAATGATATTTATTAGTATTATCCTTATGCTGAGTAGTTCCTGTTTAGAATCCTTGTATGACATAGCAATTTGCAGAATTAAAAAAGAGATAACAACTGATTTTCATCCATCATCTTCCTGTTTCCAAATATAAGCAGAGGCATTGTCTCCTTTGTAAGTTGGCTAGCTTCCTGTCCCTGCAAACAGAATATCACCTGCCAACGATGCCATCTGCAAAGGGCCCAAAGTCCGACTCAGAGACCTCTGGTCTCCCTTCTAGTTTAATTCTATACTCATTCCCTAATGGGCCACGCTGGTCTGTTTTGAACAGCCCTTAGCCATCTGTCATATTTGTGGACTTCTAATATTTGTTATCAGCCAAGATGGGAGAAAGAAACACATGGATTTTCGTAATCACTATCTCATTCGATCTTCACAATGAGCCCCTGAGGTTTGTATTGATTGTCTGTGTTTACATTTTACTTAGGAATCTTAACCTTTTTCTTTGCTTATTCCTTCAACTTTGGTGTGCTCATTGCAAAACTTGATATAGAAACTCAGCGGGAAGTTGATGTGGAAACTCAGCAGGTGCCTTTGTTACCAGCACTGTATGAAGAGTAACATCCTTCTGAATTACTCAACATAAAGCAGATGCCTTCTGCCCTGCATGACTCTTCCTTTTTCCTTCCCCCTTAACATGGATCATTAAATACATGCCTTCTTTTATTGCACTGGGGACTTAGGAACCGACTTTCACTTTCCTGACACTGTGGATAGGTGTCCCATATTTCTCCAAGAATGGAATGTTTTTACTTCTGTTTCTCACCCTTCCCAACCCTGCAAAATGGCTAACTGCAAGCTTTCCAACCCTCCCATGCCTTCCCATTATTATCTCTACATTTGACACTTCCTGATATTAGCATTATTCCCAAAATATTGTCACCTTGCAACTAGAACTTTTTAAACATTCATCAATGTTTGTTTCTGTGTTATTAAAACTATTGGGAAATTAGATGCATTTTTCCTAGGCCTCATTCATAGTTTGAAAATATTTTGCACATAGCCTGTATGAATTAAATTTTCTTTTGAACTCTTAAGTTTTAAGATGAATTGCTACTGACAAACACAATAAATATAATTGTATATGATTAAAAGTATCAGCATGACCCGAGAAGAGGCTGATGTAATTAGCAACAGTGATGAGGATCTAGAATTGCCTAGGAATCTTTGAGACTCAGAATCTGGCTTATGGAAGGTTCAAAACAGTAGTTTGAACCAGTGGGAAAGAGAACTGGATTATTTCATGGCAATATAACTTTAGTGTCAATTAAAACTTTATATTTTTTCTTCATTTAAAGTGTGTGTGAATCATTCTTAATTACTCTATGGTTCATTTAAAAAAGACTAATTGGTTCTTGCTATAAAATGCAATGTCTAGCTTGACTGAGTCATTTTTCTTTTGAGATCAGTATGCATCCTTATTGACTAGTCTTTCTAATTCTGCTTTGACATGCATGCAGCCATTTCATCATGTTCTATCAGCAATTAATTGTGGGGTTTTTCTTCCTTTTCCAGGTGGCCTTTTTGAAGATGTAACTGTTGGAACTGAGGCATCCACCCACCCCCACCAACAGACAGACAGCTCCAGGGCAGAGCACACTGAAGGCCAGCAGTCAGCTCTGTGGGCATGGATTACAAAGACAGGAACCAGGGCTGCAGAATGACAGTACTGCACTAAAGTTTTGAGTTTACTTGTTTACATATATTATCTAAGAGAAGGGCTGACTTTAGATCTTTGAAAACCCAGCACTGTGAAGAAAGTTGTAGTGGCAGGTTGTCAGCAGGGTAAGTATAGAAGTTGCATTGCTACTTTCCACAGAGAAGAGCATTCAAATCTGTGCTGTGTCAGCACCACCTGGAAGGATATTAGCTAACAGAGACCCATCTGTCCTATGTGGAATGTGCAAGGAACACCATTGGTGGAACTCAGTGTAAATTCTAGGAAATAAACTTTAAAGAGCTTCTCAGGTTTGTTTAAAACAGATTTTAAATAACAAAAATACAGTGCTTTGTGTACCTTCCTCAGAAAAGATGCTCAGTAAATGTTTGTTGAATGAGTAATTATCCAATTAAAAATTTTCCTGAGTTTGCAAACCTGCATGTGTTCTTTTTGTTCTTTATTTTCTTTACCTCATACTATTGCAAATTAATAATAATAATAATAATAAAAGTACTCACTGGCATCCTGGTACAGTTGTTTGTGTACCAGAACAGGAGGTGAGGAAAATACTGAATGAGAAAAATGGAGCTGGGTGGAATCATAGAGTTCAGGTCAGCTCTTCATTTTACAGACAAGGATTGAAACTTGCCCAGAATCACACCACTAGGCTCAAGGTTGGGCCTGGAGCCAGGTGGATCCACCTCCTGTGCTTGTGACCTCCTCCACCTCTCTCTGACATCCTTCATTCCCACTGTGCAGTCAAGACTCATCTTTGTGTTTGCAACTGTCCCTGCTGCTGATCAAGCCTTTGGCATTAATCCTAGCCTACAGACCATCTACCTAATACTTCTTCTCTCAAAGACCTGAGTTGACACCATAGTTTCCTAACTTTCTTAGCATAGGTGTCATGTGGCATTATGATTTCGTGAACTGGCCATGATTTCTTCTTTCTTTACTTCAACCAAACCCTTGTTCTGCCAGCAGAGCAGTGGGGTAGCTCCTCTAATTCTGTAACTGGTGGACTGACCTAAGAGTAAAACCCATCTGTTGGATCCTGCTGCATCACTTTATTAAGCACAGTTTGAAACATTGATGTTCTTAGTGTTATGTCCAACACTCACAGCCACAGAGAATTAGTTTGGCTTTACTACTAATAGGCTCCCAAACATCATGCTGACTTTTCATGGTTTTGATTTCTGTCATATCAGTTATAGAGCTGGGTTTCTCATGCTCAGCACTATTTTCATTTTGGCCTAAACAATTCTTTGTTGGAAGAGGCTGCCCTGTGCATTGGAAGATGTTTAGCACCAGATGTCAGTAGCACATTCTCCTCCTCCTCCTCCACTTTGACTTGTAATGACCAAAAATATCTGCAGATGTTGCAATGATTGGCAAAATCAGTTGTAGATGAGAATACTGCTGTAGAAGATGTGTCCTGAGAAGTAAGGTTTGGTGAGTCTTAGTGTACTTTTGTTTTCACAAATGAATATATTCATGATGAACACCTTCGTGTGTGACTGCTTCTTAGAGTTTAGTTTGTATTATCTAATGGTAGAAATTGGAATAAATTAGGTGAAGCAGAGTTCAGCCTGTGCATACAAACAATTTTCTTCAGAGGTCGTTTTTCTCCCTCTGGAGAAAAAAATGTCCATAACCATATTAACATACATTTATGATTTAGATAGTGCAGAACTCATGATTCAAGCAATAACTTTGTTCTGCTCAAGAAACTTAGCTAGAATATTCTGATTTACTAATCTTGTCTTCTGAAGTAAAGTTGAGTCAACCTTACCTCTTTCTGAGGTCTTAGGAAGAGCCAAGTCAACCTCTCTGTGGTGGCACAGTGTGGGGAGTGGAGGTGGAATGACTGAGAAACTCTGAGGGGCAGGGATAAGCGGGTGGGGTGTCACAACACTCACACAGAACAGATAGTTACTGTGTTTGCATTTACATTTGTTATGCAACTTAAACCCTTGTTATGGTGAAGTTCTCAAGCTGGACAGGTCTCCACTGGTTCTTCCATGGTTGGGGAGGGAGAAGTACTACACTATAAAGTGCTATGTTTTAATATAATCTTCGAAAATAATCACCACACTTAGGGGAGGAAAAGTAAAGGAAGTGTGAAGAAAGGTGCTTTTTCAGACTAGGAACTTAAATATATATATTTTTAACTTAGTTCCCATATGTGGTCAAAATAATTCTATCCTATAAAGACTGACTATGGAGATAACACATATTAAATGCCAATAGATTGCATAAAAACCACAGCCTATATAATTTTGCCCAAAGTAGCCTTACTAAGTGAGAACCTACTAATATTAACAAAACTTATGTGATTCCATTGATTCCAGGAAAGGGATCCAAGGAAAGCCAAATAGTCTGATATAATTGGCCTTACTCAACCCCTTTGATGATTAAGCTTGCTCAGTAGCTACTGTAATAAAAAGTGCTGACAGCGTTAAATAGTTGTGCATAATAGATAAAGCTAGCCTCATTGTTATCTCTGTACATTTGTTTTTGTGTTTAATGTATAACAAAGATTAATTGAGGCCCATGTTTTGTGGTAATTTAGGGATGTAGAGATGACTGGTACACCTTAGTCTCTGGTTAGAAAAGAATCACCATTTATCTTACACATCAGAAGGCTGTTTCACACTAATTGCTCATCTAAAAGCTCTACACATTTTAAAAATAATCTTAAATACTCAATCCACTTGGTGTGAACTCAATTTGACAATTTCTCTTTATTTGTATCTTGAGATACTTCAAGATTTCATTTGCTGAATCAGAGATCACCTGAATTACTTAATCTAGAAGGAAAGGTATGAAGGAGTTACATGGGAATAAGTTATTTTAAGAAGTAAATTCTCTAGTTTTAAGAACAGACAAATCTGCAAAAACATTTTAAAATACATTCAACCTATACTAGTATTATGCTCTATTAATTAGTGTTTTTGTTGCAAATTTTAGTATTTCTAAATATACTCAAATCATGAACACCATCAGCAGGTAACTTAATTTAAAACAATAGCAGCAGTAAGTTTTCCATTTGAGGGTTCTGGTTGAACATTTCCTAAACTCAAGAAGGACAGGGCTTGTTATTATAATGGGAATGACAGCTCAAATTGCTGCCTAAGCATTAGAAGAATACACCACACCCAAATGGCTCCAGCTGGTGGACAGAGATAAGAACTCAGGGGCATCTCTCTGGCTAGGAGACTGGGCTTCCTACTGTCCTATTCTCATCTTTAAACAGACTTTTCAGGCATTTGCACATGAACTCAGGGATCCATGCCCTATTCTCTTATGTATACTACTAGTCCCCCTATCACTCATCCACTTGTGCCTAATTCTACATTCCTGCCCTGAGTGACCCAGGGACAGAGAATTGCCCTTCACGCTCATTACACTCTCCCTGCCCAGGGTCTATAAGTAACAAATGTGTGAACTTATTCCTATTGTGATCGAGTGTTGAATTTGCACTTTCCATCTGAGAACCAGAGGCTTTCCTAGGCCAGATTTTCCCACGGGTACCAGGGTGGGAGTAAGGGTAGTGACGAAAGTTGGAGGGGTAGATCCAAAGCTCTGGTCAGGCAAAGATAAACAGGACACAGGTCAGACATGAGCCACAAGGGCATATGTCAGTATAGACAAGTTTCCTGTTTAAAGGATCCACGGTTGCAGATTGGACTACTGGGCCGGCCACCCGATGGACAAAAGAAGGATCCTTTGAAAGACACACTGTAAGTGTCCACCTTTCTTATTTTACAGTTAGGCTAGCTTTGCTAGCTGCTCTATTGGTAGAACCCAAACTTAGCTGGGAGCTTTCAAAATAGTTACCCTTTATCTACCCCCCTGCAGGCCTGAGGAGTCTGTGGCAGGTGTACTGCAGAAATAAGCTGGGAAAGGAATTATAGAAACATAAGTGCCCCCAAAATAATGGTGTCTGCTCTATTTTTTCACTGAAAACCAATGAAAGGAACCGGTAATTGTGGGATGGGGGATCTCTATGACCTATTCCTCTCTTTACATCTTCCAACCTATCTCCAAGCAATGCCACTTAAGTGCTGGTCTTGCATACTCCTGCCCTCTCTTTTAAGACCTCCGAGTACATTGGGCATGGTGGCAGATGCCTGTAATCCCACTGTTTCCAGAGGCTGAGAAAGAAAGATTCTAAATTTGAGGTCAGCCTCAGTAACTTAGTGAGACTCTATCTCAACATAAAAAAGGGCTGGGGAATGTATCTTAGTGGTCCAGCATCCCTGGGTCCAATCCCAGGGGTACCCCAGCCCCGAAAAAAAGCTTAAGAGTATATTTAAGTATAGATTCCTGTGTGATTCCTTCACTTGAAACTTTCTCCTCATTAGGATACTGACATAAGCATCAAAAAGAGTCATTGTTAGTTTTATTTCCACAATATTACACATTACTTTTTCACTCCCAAAGACAGAGAAAGGTTTATTTAGGAAAGTGGAGGCACATTCAAGGGACAATGTGGACTATCTCCTGCAGGAGAGACAGCTGTATACATTCCTTTATGAAAAAAAATATTATTCAAAAAATATTAGCTCCTCTTCCCTCACCCTAATATTCTGAATAATAAACTCAATAAAGGGCATTATAAATTCTCTACATTGTTCACATAATTATATGCCTGAGTGCCAATGTTAAGAAAAAATTCTTTAAATAAAGTGCATAAAGTAACTAAGAAATTGAAACAAATTTCCAGTAGTTTAATTCAATACAATCTAAGAAGTGATGAGGTCAGGAAACAAAGACGAAGTGGGCCAAGCACAGGCACTTTGTCTTTCATAGGCAGATGATGTGGCTTATTGTTGCTATTAACAGAAAATGAGATATATTTTTTAAAGGTGTAAAGAAACCATCATTAAGTTTTAAATGTGTTGGAAATCCCTAGAGGAAACAAAAAGCACCTGAGTTATAAAACACATTTCCTGTGCATCTTTTCAACCCTGTGACAACAGTTCACAGTAATTTTGAAGAGCTGATTGCAGTGCTTGTATTTATCTGTATTTTGCTTGATTCCAGCAAGCTGAGAGGGTCCTCTACATGAAGGCTGCCACTTGTGGAACATCTGGTGGTTGCATTCCTTACGCTGTCATTGAGGTGTCTCTGAAATCTGTGCTGTCATTAGAACTGGCTTTGGCCAGAATGAAAATTTAGAGAAGCAGCACATGAAGGTTCCTTGCAGCAGAGATGATGAGGCCAGGCCAGTAGTGTGAACCCCAATAGTTGGGGTGGGGCAAGGAAATCCTTTCCAGTGAACATCCTGGTCTGGATGAGGCAGGATTTTATGTGGACCTCGAATGATGGCTGAGATCAGGAAGGTGCAGACACTCAGGAAAAATGACATTTTGAAATAGGGGGACTCTTTGGCTAGATTGGAGGAATTGAGATGGGACAGTGAAAGACAAGGT